ATGGATATTAGTTATGTATATTTATGGAAGCGTTCAGAAATAAATAGAAACAAATGAGAATCATTTATGCGGTAATTACTCATTTATAGTAAATTGAAAAAGTTATTAAATATTTTAATTATTATATTTTTTATTATATATTATTACTATAATTATTATTATTATTATTATTATTATTATTATTATATAAAATTAAATATTAATTTTTGAAGGAAAGCTCAGTTTAAACAAAAATATAATATAATATAATGAAAAGAAAGAAAATAATTTTAGATAATATATTTTAAAGAGATGAAAAAAAAATGTGAAAAAAATAATCACGCAATGAGGAAAATTTCATTTTCAAAAATAGTTTATATATCAAAAGACACAAAATGCATTAGATATTCAGAAAAAAATCATATACATATTTTTATATTTTTTCAAAAAAATTTAGAAATAGTATAAATTATATATAGATCATATACATGAATTTTAAGAAAAGATATGCTTCAAAAGTTAATATTGGAATTGAATTCGTAACAATCTATCAAATACAAAAATTTTGAATCTATGATTATGATTAAAAAGATAATTAATGTTTAATATTAATAAAATTTCAGAGCAATATATTATTTGAATATTTACAAATTTTCGAAAGAATCAATTCAAAAATAAATTCTATAGTTTGGATTTTTGTTCTATGCATAAATTTTAGCAAATAAACGAAAAAAAAAAAACGAAATATAAAATCTTTGTATGTAAGTATGAATCTTTAATAATAAATAAAAGAAAATCAATTAAACAAATACATTGACGTTTCTCATTTGCCACTGTGACAATACTTGACTCGAGAAAAGTATCATTATGTAACATTTGTTTGTAAAAAGTTAAAAAAAATGTTATTGATTAATACACGCGAGATTTTGAATAGAAAGTTTCATTTAAAATTTTTTAATATCGAAATTATTCAGAAAAATTTTCTTAATATTAATTAAAAATTATTCTAACAGATTGATGAAGTTTTAATATTTTTTAAAATTAATAATTTATATTTTACTTTTACGAAATCAAAGAATAAATGACATTAATACGACGTTTTCTATTAAAGCAACAGAAAGATCAACTTGTATTATATTAAGATATTTTTATTGGGATAAAATTTATATGATATATTTGTTTGTATAACAAAAAATTTTATAATTATTATATAATATTATTATATAATAAAAATTATTATACTTATTTCGTTTGAAATAAAAGAGACTGAATGAATTGTTGATTAAAATGAAAAATATATAACTGTGAAGTATGATTGTGGCTACTAATAACTTATGATTTATTAGTAGCTAAAATATACTGACTCATTAAGATGAGTTTGGTAGCATAAATTGTAAAGAATTATATATATGTAATAATTCCATAATTTTAAAAATAACATCATTTTGTGATATTTATATTTTTCATTGGCAATATTAAAAAGCTTTGTTTCTTATCGAATTATTCGAATCATCAGTTCTTTTTTATCTTTGAAATGATTTCTAAAAAATATTTTTAAATTTCATTATTTCAACGTTATTTCAGAATTTTTGTTTAATTTCTATTTATTTATTTTTTCTTGATATGATACTTCGTTGTATTACTATCAAACTTTGTATATTATCTTTATTTAGTATATTCGTACTTATTTATTATATTTCAGCTTCTTTCTGATTTGAATTTGATTTTATATTTGATGAAGTTAGTCTGTTTTCTGTATGTTTTAAAGAAACTACGTTTATAGTTTATATATTTTTTTTAATTTGTTTTATTTTGACCTTTTTTTATTTTTATTTTATAATACAATTTCTTTTTTTAAATGATTCCGTATCGATTTTTAATTTACTTAAAGATCTTTTATGAAGAATAAAAATTTTTTTTTTAGGTAGTTAGCAATTAAATAAAAATTCAATTAGTGTTTATTCAGTAATAATCATTAAGAATATTTATTTATTTGCTAACAATATTTATTCATTGGTGAAATCGGTATTTATTCTTTTTAATTATATTTCTATTTTTTTTTTAAATTTTTTTTTATTTCTATGTTTTACATGACAATTTAAACATTAAAGAATCTAATTTGAATTATCCGAATATTTATTAATATTATTAATCTCTAAAATTCAAAAAGTTAATTTTTATTCATTCTAAATTTATTTATTGATGTATTCATTCTATATTTAAGATAATATTTATACGCTATTCGTTTCTATTATATTATTATAAAATATTTCTTAACTTTTTTGTTGTATGACAATATATTAGTTTGTAATACTTATGTGATTTGAACATATTAAATAAATTTATTAATAAATTTTCAACAATTTTCTGGATTCTTGTTATATAAATAAATAAAATTATGCACGTTTGGATGTGACTTAAATGTGTTTTCAGTAATTTCGAATAGTCGAGCAGTTTAGGCAATTCCCATTTCGCGACCCATTAAAAATTTAATATTGACAATATATAGATTGATAAATTCTGATATAATATATGTAAAATTAAATTAAATTATAAAAGATATTTTTTTTAAACGATATTAGATGTTAATAAAATATGTTTTATCATTAAAAAAGCTCTAATTAGTTTATAATAAAATTAGATAATGACTAATTGACTAATCTTTTAATTGCATAGGCAAACTTATTCTAAAGTAAATCCATTGTCGCAACACATTTTATCCTAAGCGTCTTGATTCAATTTGGTGTAAAGTAAGCTTTAGAACTGGGGTAACGTAATTGATAGTATGAGCTTAACCTCACCTTTTTCGGGTAGATTTAATGGATAAGGGATACCAACGTCCCTTCTTTCTTTAATTTTCTTCGCATGTGCGATTTCACACGATAAAATTTCGTGCAATACGAAAGTTTAAAATGACCCAATTACTTTCACATTTTTTTTGAACAGGATGATCAATTAATATAATAAGAATAATTTTCATTTTAAAATATTATTTAGATTTAATAATAATAATAAGTTATTTTTTTATTTTATTTTTAAATTCTTCGAATATAATGTACTAATATATAAATATTATATTATTTTATATTTAATTTAACATTAATAGAATATTAATATAATAACATAACATTAATATAATTTAACATAATAGCATTAATTATCTTACTTTATTTTAAGAACTTTTATAGATATATAAATCATAAACATTTAAAATAATATAATTTTATACTATTTTTTTATTTCAAAATAAGATATGTCAAATTTTAAAATTTTAATTTTGTTCATTTAATCTATCAAATAATCTAATTAATAATCTATCAAAATAGAATTACTATAATAATAATAAAAAAATAATAATTATAAAATAATAACTATTTTCAAAATAGTATTAAACAATTTTTATTATCGTTAATATAATAAAATTTAGTTAAATATCAAAATGTTTTTAATAAAGAATTTAAGACTTTATTCAATTCAATTAATTAATTTATTTCATAGTAACTCTTTTTATTTTATGTATTTTGCATCGAATTATTATAAAAACTTCAATCTACTACATCTTTGTTTCATGTTGCTGGCGTTGAAATCTATGAAACCACAAAAGGTTAAATGTAGAATATTAAAAGTTCGATTTTTATGAAGTACGCTATGAAATTGACTCAAATATAAAACTTAGCATATTAATATGTTTAAGTTTTTTTTATTATATATAATACAATTACTACTTAACGCTAAATTCGGATCATTGAAGACAAAAAAGAACAAAAAGTTTTATACAAGTTTAATTATTATTATAATTTGTTCGGGTTTGTACATGTGAAAAAATTCAAAGATTTTAAAAAGAAAGAGAATACTTTTAAACAATATCGAAGATATATAAATCTTAAAGGCTGCAAGGCATTAAAATAGTTTTTCAAAGAAAAAAAATTTCCAAGCCTAGAAATTACAAAAAAATCAATAAGACCATTAAAGTTATTAATATCATCGCTCAAGATGAAAATTATAGATACGAGAAAAAAATAGAGATATTAAGTAAAAAATAATTGTTGTAAAAACGTCAAATTTATAATTTTCTTCTATAATGATATACATATATAAAACTGATTTTTATTGATATCTAATATTAGTGATTTTTTGAAAAATTAAAACTTTATTTTTATAATTTTATAACAAATTTTAATTAGCCAGTAATTTTAGTTTCTCTTATGGTTTTCTTTATAGATGTTGTTTATTGAAATAATTATAGAACATTATTGTTCAAAGACAAACAAAAAAGATACAAAAATTATATTCGTTTAAATAATTTATTTAAATATTTTATAGAATTAAATAATTTAAAAATTCAAGATAGAATTTTTCTTATATTTATTTTAAAACTTACAAAAAATAAGATTTTTTTATTTAATATGAATTTGCAATTTTTTTACTATTTATTTTTTCTTAATTTATATATCTCAAAATATATTAAATTAAATTCGCGTAGATTATCAAATTTGTCTCATTTTTTGTTACGAAACTCGAATAAGATTTGAAAAGATTTGATCATTATGTGCAATGAAATTATTCAAAAATTATAAAAGAGAGAAGAGAATTGAACGCTCATCAGCATGGGGTAGGTGGCCGCGTGCGAATTCCCTCTCCATGCTACTATATGGAGAACAGTAAGTATATCTGGCCCTGGGGGTATAATATACCCCTTTCCCCGCCCATCTTTTCGATCTAACCGACCACGCTGCCCTCACTGATTCCCTCCCTTCATCGGCTCGTCTCTTTCCCTCTTCTCTTTATCCAGTTTATTCCGGATCATTGTCTCTTTCTCCCTCTTGCGTTCCGCTAACCTCTTTGCTACCTAGCTCGCTCGCTTGTCACGTTTTTCTCCTTTGCTCCAACTGCGTTGCTTCATCCCCCACCTTTTCTGTTACCCCTTCCATGCCAGCGAACCACCCACCAGATCGCTTGTTCGCTATGTCGCGAACTCCCTCTTATTTTCTCTCTCTCACGTTAGGACGTTTGATCAGTTTATCTCGCTCACTTCTCCATTATCCTTCTCTATCCGACTCGTATCGTTGCTTGTCATCTTATCTTCGTCCCTCTCGAATGCGCGGAGGCAGACGCCAACGAATTCACTTCACGCAACTTCAGTTTTACTCGGTCAGTTCCTACTGCCGGCCAGAAGAATTCGTCAGTATTCGCCGCGCTGCATTGCCGGTAAGTTGTATTTGAGAAGAAGATAGTTTGATTACTGTAATACTCACAAGTGCGCGTTTATAATGAGAAGATAAGTTTAAAATATATCTACAGCATATATGTCCGTTGTTAATTGCATTATCAATTTAAAATAAAGTTGTTTATATAAATTTGACCGTGTCATTATAAAAAATACAAGAAACTCCAGATTAAAGTGTCTGCCATTATTGGATCAACTCAATCTACTCGATTCTAAAAAGAAAAAAAAAAACACGAGTAAATAGGCATTGAAAATATTTATCTTGGGGTAAGAACCAGGAAAATAGAAAGATATTCAGAGAATATCCATGAAAAATAGGAAAAAATATAGTCATTTTGGAATAGAGACGAAAATAATATTATTAATTGCATTTTTAATCGGTGAAATTTTCTCGATAAACTCCGAACAAGATTGTGCACGAAAAACGACACAACACGAACATACGTTTCGATATTCCAAAAGATTTTGCGAAAGTTTACCGCGTAGAAACTGCGAAACAACAAAGTCGAAGATTCTCTCCTCGCAGTGGGCCAAGTTCTTTATCAAAACATGGCCACGTGACCGACGGCGCGGCTTGTAAACAGTGAGTTTGACCACGTGGTCTGCCCCTTCTCTCGTCGCCGCATATCTCTCTCGCACTCGTTCTCTTTCTCTGTTTCTTTCTCGCTCGCTCGTGACACGCAGAACAACGTAAGCACAGCGTAGCGTATTCTCGGTCGGTCCGCTGCCAGCTGCGGGAGAGTTCGATTCAAGTGATCCGCGATACTTTGCTTTTCTTTACAGTTCACCTCCGTTTCATTTTTTCAAAGTGATATCTTTGTTACTGTGTGCACGATATCGTATAAATACTATTCGTCCATAATATCCAGTCGTGAGCCATAAAAAAATTAAGTGACAAACGCGAATACAGTAACACGACGAAAAGTGATCCCAGTTTCTGTTTTTAATTCATTATTATCGACGTGGTACTGTTAATTTGTAGAAATCACAGTGTTGGCAATATCAAAAATTTCAATCGCAATACGATTATCAACTGTTACGGATATTTTTTCCGTGGTTTGTCGCTAGGCAGCGTGATATTTGCGAAGGGATAGCACCTCTCGAGGTGCTCGCGGTCAAAGTGGATTACATGGAGGAAACGAACATGATGGACTCGGTGCCGGTTTCTGCGTCAGGGTCAAAGACCGGGTTGCAACCACAGCAGGGGGTACCATACGATCTTGAGAGCGGGTTCGAGCCTCAGACCAGAGCACGGTCGCACACGTGGCCGCTGCCAAGTCCAGAGGAATATATTGAGGGAAACAAGAAGCCGAACGTATCGGTTCGAAAAGAGGGCGTCGAAGACGTCGAAAGTGGCACGCCGCCTCAACATGGTTCTCTCGGCCAAGGTACCGGCCTGCTTCCGGTCAAGAAGAATTCCTCCCGACGAAATGCCTGGGGAAATCACAGTTATGCAGATCTCATTACTCAAGCCATTACCAGTGCTCCAGATGAACGGTTGACTTTGTCTCAAATCTACGAATGGATGATGCAGAATATTCCATACTTCAGGAAAAGGAGAAAGCAACAGTAGCGCCGGATGGAAGGTTAGTTTATATATATATATATATATATTTTT